AAGAGATGTGCCCCTTGATATCTCATCTTATTCTGCATGTACCTCTTTCATATCTTTTTGAAAAGTGGTAATTAACCAAAACAATTAACATGATCAGTCATAAACATGCAGATGTCTTGTTTGTAGAGCAGAGCCTCAGTGTTGTATGTATTGTAAATACATTTACTATATATTAATGTCTCAGAGCAGGAAGCTGTTACACTGAACTTGTGTGAAGTTTTTTTCCTCTGGGAAGGAGTGACTTTTCCACTCCACATTGTGCTAGAGGGTGATTTAGTTCATTGATTCACCACACACTGAGTAATGCTGACAGTTAAGTCTAGATGCAAGTGGAAAAACTTTTTTTAGAACCATGAATTACTGCTGATTTCACATTTAATGCATGATGCAGATTCATCCTGAATTATTTAAAATATGATTTCCACTGAGTACCCAATATATATCGGATGCATCTGATGAAGTGAGCTGTAGCTCACGGAAGCTTATGCTCAAATAAATTTGTTAGTCTCTAAGGTGCCACAAGTCCTCCTTTTCTTTTTACAGTTACACAATTGTAAGTCTGAAGTAACTTCATGGACTTCAGCAAAATATTATGGATATACGTCAGAGGAACTTGAGCAAAATTTGGTTCAATACGTAATCATTCTGAGTATGAAGAAGTCTACAAGATTTTAGAGAAGGGAGAACCTATTTTGAAATGGACAGTATACAACAGGGGTGGGCAAACTTTTTGGCCCAAGGGCCACATCAGAGAATAGAAATTGTATGGTGGGCCATGAATGCTCACAAAATTAGGGTTGGTGTGTGGGCTGGGATGAGGAGTTTGGGGTGTAGGAGGGTGCTCTGAGCTGGCATTGAAGGGTTCAGAGGGTGGGAGGGGGATTAGAGCTGGGGCAGGGGTGCAGGTTTCAGCTGGGGGTGCAGGCTCTGGGTTGGGGCTGGGGATGAGAGGTTTGGGATGCAGGAGAGTGCTCTGGGCTGGGATCAAGGGGTTTGGAGAGCGGGAGGGGGAATCAGGGCTGGGGAAGAGGCTCGGGGTGCTCAGAGTGGTGCTTACCTCAAGCGTGGTGTGGCCTGACCCTGTGCCCCAGCTGGAGTGCCAGAGCGGGGCCAAGCTGCGTGGTCCAGCCCCTGACCCAGCTCCCCGGCTGGAGTGCTGCTGAGCCTCTGGTGAGGCCCCCGACCTAGCGCCCCAGCCTTAGGTCCGGGGCAGGGCTGAGCCACATCATGCGGCTCGCAGGCCAGTTTAAAACGGCTCGTGGGCCGTAGTTTGCCCACCTCTGGTATAGAATGTACTGAATGACTGGTAACGTACACATTCACATTACTCATTACAGGTGTGCATTTGCTATATTGCAATGGATATAATCAATTGGTCCTTCTTCACAAACATTCAAATACACTGCTGAAGCTACTAGCCTAAGAAGCAGGTGCGTCCAAATTACATTTGACAAACTAACTAGTGCCATGTAGAACTTGATCCTGCAAATTTATACACGTGTGGCTGAGATTCCTTATCCTCACAGCCACATGTTTGCAGGGAGAAGATTATATCTCAAAAATTAAATAAGATTCTAGGAAATGTAAGAGTATTTTGACCATATATTATCAGCATAGAGATATTATCTTGGGACATTGACATCCTAGGACAAACCTGCAATATTCCTTGCAAATGAAGGGAAAGTGGCCTTTCAGATATCATGTGACAACCTTTAACTTCTAGTTATCAAGAAGTCCAACTGTTCATGCATTTTCTGTCTCTACATTACTGCATACGTAGCTATATACTAGTTACCTTTAGTCAACATTACCCTTAGATACCAAACAATGGTCCAGATTATCCCTTTCCATAGAAAAAATAATAGGAGGGGAGTTCTGAGCGAGAAGATAATATCCACCAGGATTCTGTTGCAGAGATTCCCTCCCTCGTATTGTTCATACATGGCATAGAGTTTGCCCCTACCCCAAGGAAGAGTCTCTAGCAACTTCCATGCTCCCCCCACAGACTGGCATATTCTCCTACCCCCACACCACTCAGATCCATGGGAGGCCCAGGGCATCTGCATGGAAGCCCCCCTATGCCTCCACATCAACTCTCTTTGCTACTAATTTCCACAGGTTTCAGAGGGAATGATGGGCCCACTCCTTCCCCTGGCCTGACCAATTTCCACCCCTTTCCTCAGCATTGACTCTGGAAAAGCCTCTAGAATATCTGAACTGACCGAGGGATGCCATAAAAATGGCAGAGCTCCCTTCCATGTAGGGCAGGGGGAATCCAGGCATGGATTTGGAGTGGAGAAACAGGGTGAACTGAGCTAGTGGTACTTCAGACCACATGATTATTTCTTATGGAGAAACGATTAACAATCCCCCCACCACCACACACACACACACCCTTACCTATTCATTAAATGACAAAAATCACACCACGGAGGTCATGCATTGCAGTGCTAACAGACCTTGGTCATCATCTGCTGGGATCAAACCTGGGACTTCCGGAGCTTAATATATAAGCCTCTATCACCTGAGCTAGAAGACACCTCTTAGCCAGGCTGTATCAGGCTCAACAATCTCTAGCTGGCCTAGCTGCCATTAAAGGGGAGCAGAGCGCTACAGCAAGCAGGCATGGATTACACATAAAATAGACAGACCTTTGTACTGCTTCAGAGTGACAACAAATGGGCTGTATGCTGGCTGGATCCAAGCCATAGTAGCTATGTTGGGAGTGTGGCTAGAATGCTGCTGCACCTTAGCTGTACTCAGCTGCCAGAGCAGGCCTTTGAGACCACTAATGTCAAGAATAGCATAGAACAGCCATGAGGCTGCTCTCAACTGCACTGGGGGCTGAACTGGTCATCAGGTGACTCAGGAATCCAGGAAGCAAAAAGGTAGCTTAAAGCCACCTTTGTCCCCTTCCCCAGGTGCAGTACCAAACAGTTTGGCTGCATCTGTGAATTGGAGGCATTGCATTAAGCATTATACAACAAAACAAGAGCAAACCATTGAAGCCAAAGGGAACAGCAAATCATCTGACTCTTTCCTCCTTGCTTTTGTCTTAGATGAGAAGCATTTATGCTGAAAATGTCATTTGTAAGGGAGGCCAGCTAGCATCATGATCCGCAACAAGTGAGAAGCAACCTCGAGCGGTTTATCAGTATTTCACCCAAAATTTTATTCTGGTCAGCCTCTCTCCCTCATGCAATCCAAACTGCCTCACTAATAGCAGTGATCTCAGGCCTCCTTCTACAACAGGAAGGAGAGTTAATCTTTGAGACTAGTTCTAGAAGTGGGCAAAAGCACCTGCATGTTGTACCCTTCTCTGCACTTCCAAAGCCTGGGCTAAATTCTGCCCTCAGATACATGCATACAACTCCAGTGGGAACTATGCATATCAGAGAGCAGAATCTGGCTAAGTGAGATCATCCCACTGATGCAATTTGCTCATAGCCAGCCTGAGGAGATAGAGTCCTGAGCTTGCTTCCCAACCAGCCTCCCATGTGATGGTGTCGGCTTTCTACTTGGTCATAGAGTTCACTCACCATTGGGTGCCTCCTTGTGGTTATTTCTAGGGACTCTCCATTCAGGTCAGATACTTCCCTCCTCACTCTCCAGGAGTCATGAAGTTCCCTCCAGCCAGGTCACTATAGTTTTCTCCTTCTGGGGTATCAAAATCCCACTGGGTCAACTGTCTTTATGCTGTTCCAGTCTTCTACTCCCAGGCCAGGTCCTATGCCACTATTCTGGGTTCCAGCTATTTTCCTAAACTCCTTCCTGCACCTCTCTGGGTTTACAAGCCAAAACACTCTCCTCCCAGGGAGTAACTGTAGACTACTCTCTTCTTTGGTTTCTTACCAGACTCTGTAACCAAGTACAAGACCCTTCCCCCAAAAAGCAACTACAGATTACTGTCCTTATAGCCCTCTTCTAGGCTCAGCTTGCTGGCTTTATACAAACTCAGCTTGCCCCTGCCCAGCTGGGCTTTGTTTGGCTCTCCCACAGATGCAGCCTATCATGTTAATTGTCCTAATAACCTGCTCTGCCTTGTGTGGAGGGACACCCATTACACAGCCTCATCCCCAAATTCTGTCATGAAAAGAATTATAAAAACAAACAAGTTGAATATACGTGAATAGACTCCTTGAATAGACAAGTTCATTAGACACCTGAACTATCCACTCATCCTGAGCCATCCTGTCCATGCCCTCAGGCCTAACGCATGTGACCTTTTCAAGCATTCATTCAGGAGCATTACCTATGATCATCATATGCTTTCACTTAAAACAGGGTTCCCTAAAAGGGGATGGAAGAATCATGTGCTCATTCACTAGCAGAGGGTTGGGTATGAGTGGAGCTTTAGGTCCCTAGCTCACTTTTTTGGGTTACTAAATTCATAAATGTTGCCACAATCCACAACTATTTTGTCACTAAAGGTGGGAAGCTACCCCTGGGGAATTTGGGGTGGGGGCAAGTGGGGGAAGAGGAGGAGTATATCCTGAAGCCCTAATTAGAACCTTGTTAGAAGGCAAGTCATGGGTGCACTGGCTGTTGTTAAAGAATAAGAATAGCTCTTATCCAGTGCTTTTCATCCATAGATTACAGATTGCTTACGTATATACAGATGGCGCTACTGAATTATGGAAAGTTGAAATAACTTGCCCAAGATCACTTAGCAAGTCTGTGGCAGGGCAGGGTCAGGCCTTCTAATTCCGAGTTCCACACACTGTCCCCTAGGTTCTGAAAGAGGGGCTGAGTTAAGGGGAAGAAAGATCCAAAGTGATCAAATCTGAAATAGCATTAGCCATGATTTTAAAGGAAATTCAAAAAGAAAGTATGTCAGTTTACCTCTTGCAGGGCTGTTTAAGCTCAAAGAGGCAATTTCAGATGCACAGGAGAGTATCTCTGACAGGAGTTAGAACTTTAGTTCCTGCGGACAAGAAGTTGTAGAAATGGAAGAATTCTACAACCTATTACATAAGATACAAAAAAATTAAAAATAATGTATCTTGAAGAAAGACTTAGAAAATAGGAATAGAAAGTCAAGAATGTGTACACTGCAATTAAACACTCATGGTTGGCCCATGTCAGCTGAATTGGGCTTGTAGGCTCAGGCTGTGGGGCTGTAAATTTGCAGTGTAGACAGTTGGGCTCATCTGGAGCTCGAGCTGACATGGGCCTGCCACGAGTGTTTAATTGCAGTTTACACATACTCATTAATTGCTGTAATTTCTGATGACTCTGCAAAGGTGAATATGATTGACTTTGCCTTGGATTTTACTGAGTAATTTAGAGATAAAGATGGTGTCCTTTTCCCAGCTACGTCTAGCTTTGAGCAGGATCATAGCGTTCCCTTGGGTTACTCTGTATTGGCAACAGTCTAAGATCTAGAGTGGTGACCGTTTTAAAATAAAGAGGTTCCAGGGGGAAGAAACATTCTTTCAACAGCAATAAGATCTCTTTATTTCAAGATTTCAGCACAAATATATCAAAAAATGACTAACACTTTGCAAGAGGAGATGTGCTTCTGTGGCGTGCATGATGTTTTAGTTTATGCATCTAGTCTGAGTTAATTATGGTAGCAGGACTCTATTTTCACTGAGGCAGAAGGTATGGCATTTATCAAGTGCAGAGTCAATGAACTGATAAACAAGAGTAGGCAGCATTCCCCAAGGAAGGGATTGTTTTAAAATTCAAGGCTTTGCCATTCTCCGTACAAAGTCTTTGGTCACATTGGTGTATTTGTGATCACTAAACACACTTGTTTGAAGGTATTTGGCATAGATCTGTATTCCAGGGTCTGGATAGTCTTCTAGAGATTAGCATGTGGAAGGCCCCCTCCACAAACTAGATATTCCCCCTTTCTGCATGGTAGAGAGAAGGACCAGTACTTCTAAAGTACCATTCCACTCTATCCGGCCCAACATGAATGCCCCTCCCATAGATGTCTGTAAACAAGAGGCCTTGCAGAAGGCACTGTGACCTTCATGGCACTATGGTTTCTGTGTGGGGATTTAGGTGGGAGCTAATATCGGTAGGAGCTATATTATCTGGCTGCCTAGCTCAGTGTTATGATTGCTGGCTTATGGTAGTAAAGGTTACGGCCCCAGTCCCCATAGGGTAATAATAAGTAGTCTTCTAACTTCCCTCTGCAGCTTCATTGGGACCTAGCCAGTGGCAGCTTGGTTCTGTGAAGGGATCCTTGAACAGTTTTCCCCTTAGCTACTTCTAATGGGTTGTCCCCTAGAAAGATGATCTCGTCTCATTTTGTGGTTTGCACAATTTTCTTTTCTCAGTAAATATTTTGACGTAGTGAATTCTCACTTCTGCCATTGAATAGTAGTTCTGGGCTCTAGGCAGAATAACATGTTCCTTTTCTTTGCATCGCTTAGTCCCACCATCCTCATTCTATTTCTAGTTATATCTTGTAATTGAACTGTGGTGCTTATTGCCACAGGAATTGTTGAGGCCAAGAATTTAAGATTCAGAAAAAGGATTGGACATTTATATGGATAAAGACTACCCAAAGTTGTCATAATTAATTATATCACATTTTGGAAGGACATTTAGCCTTGTGCTTGAGGCTTTAAGCCAATCTCTCTTAGAAATCAGGATGAGACCTAATGTGGGAGAAAATTATATCACATCTTCCTCTGAATAATCTGGTGTTGGCCACTGTCAGCCCTGGTCTACACTAGGACTTTAGGTCGAATTTAGCAGCATTAAATCGATGTAAACCTGCACCCGTCCTTATGATGAAGCCCTTTATTTCGACTTAGAGGGCTCTTAAAATCGATTTCCTTACTCCACCCCTGACAAGTGGATTAGCGCTTAAATCAGCCTTGCCGGCTCGAATTTGGGGTACTGTGGACACAATTCGACGGTATTGGCCTCCGGGAGCTATCTCAGAGTGCTCCATTGTGACCGCTTGGACAGCACTCTCAACTCAGATGCACTGGCCAAGTAGACAGGAAAAGAACCGCGAACTTTTGAATCTCATTTCCTGTTTGGCCACCGTGGCAAGCTGCAGGTGACCATGCAGAGCTCATCAGCAGAGGTGACCATGATGGAGTCCCAGAATCACAAAAGAGCTCCAGCATGGACCGAACAGGAGGTACGGGATCTGATCGCTGTATGGGGAGAGGAATCCGTGCTATCAGAACTCCGTTCCAGTTTTCGAAATGCCAAAACCTTTGTCAAAATCTCCCAGGGCATGAAGGACAGAGGCCATAACAGGGACCCGAAGCAGTGCCGCGTGAAACTGAAGGAGCTGAGGCAAGCCTACCAGAAAACCAGAGAGGCGAACGGCCGCTCCGGGTCAGAGCCCCAAACATGCCGCTTCTATGATGAGCTGCATGCCATTTTAGGGGGTTCAGCCGCCACTACCCCAGCCGTGTTGTTTGACTCCTTCAATGGAGATGGAGGCAATACGGAAGCAGGTTTTGGGGACAAAGAAGATGATGATGATGATGAGGTTGTAGACAGCTCACAGCAAGCAAGCGGAGAAACCGGTTTTCCCAACAGCCAGGAACTGTTTCTCACCCTGGACCTGGAGCCAGTACCCCCCGAACCCACCCAAGGCTGCCTCCTGGACCCAGCAGGCGGAGAAGGGACCTCCGGTGAGTGTACCTTTTAAAATACTATACATGGTTTAAAAGCAAGCATGTGAAAGGATTACTTTGCCCTGGCATTCGCGGCTCTCCTGGATGTACTCCCAAAGCCTTTGCAAAAGGTTTCTGGGGAGGGCAGCCTTATTGCGTCCTTCATGGTAGGACACTTTACCACTCCAGGCCAGTAACACGTACTCGGGAATCATTGTACAACAAAGCATTGCAGTGTATGTTTGCTGGCGTTCAAACAACATCCGTTCTTTATCTCTCTGTGTTATCCTCAGGAGAGTGAGATATAATTCATGGTCACCTGGTTGAAATAGAGTGCTTTTCTTCAGGGGACACTCAGAGGAGCCCATTCCTGCTGGGCTGTTTGCCTGTGGCTAAACAGAAATGTTCCCCGCTGTTAGCCACAGGGAGGGGGGAAGGTTGAGGGGGTAGCCACGTGGTGGGGGGAGGCAAAATGCGACCTTGTAACGAAAGCACATGTGCTATGTATGTAATGTTAACAGCAAGGTTTACCCTGAAAGAGTGTAGCCACTGTTTTATAAAATGTGTCTTTTTAAATACCGCTGTCCCTTTTTTTTTCTCCACCAGCTGCATGTGTTTCAATGATCACAGGATCTTCTCCTTCCCAGAGGCTAGTGAAGCTTAGAAAGAAAAAAAAATGCACTCGCGATGAAATGTTCTCCGAGCTCATGCTGTCCTCCCACACAGACAGAGCACAGACGAATGCCTGGAGGCAAATAATGTCAGAGTGCAGAAAAGCACAAAATGACCGGGAGGAGAGGTGGCAGGCTGAAGAGAGTAAGTGGCGGGCTGAAGAGAGTAAGTGGCGGGCTGAAGACAGGGCTGAAGTTCAAATGTGGCGGCAGCGTGATGAGAGGAGGCAGGATTCAATGCTGAGGCTGCTGGAGGACCAAACCAGTATGCTCCAGTGTATGGTTGAGCTGCAGCAAAGGCAGATGGAGCACAGACTGCCACTACAGCCCCTGTGTAACCAACCGCCCTCCTCCCCAAGTTTCATAGCCTCCACACCCAGATGCCCAAGAATGCGGTGGGGGGGCCACTGGCCAACCAGCCACTCCGCCACAGAGGATTGCCCAAAAAAAAGAAGGCTGGCATTCAATAAATTTTAAAGTTGTAAACTTTTAAAGTGCTGTGTGGCATTTTCCTTCCCTCCTCCACCACCCCTCCTGGGCTACCTTGGTAGTCATCCCCCTATTTGTGTGATGAATGAATAAAGAATGCATGAATGTGAAGCAACAATGACTTTATTGCCTCTGCAAGCGGTGATTGAAGGGAGGAGGGGCGGGTGGTTAGCTTGCAGGGAAGTAGAGTGAACCAAGGGGCGGGGGGTTTCATCAAGGAGAAACAAACAGAACTTTCACACCGTAGCCTGGCCAGTCATGAAACTGGTTTTCAAAGCTTCTCTGAGGCATACCGCGCCCTCCTGTGCTCTTCTAACCGCCCTGGTGTCTGGCTGCGCGTAACCAGCAGCCAGGTAATTTGCCTCAACCTCCCACCCCGCCATAAATGTCTCCCCCTTACTCTCACAGATATTGTGGAGCACACGGCAAGCAGTAATAACAGTGGGAATATTGGTTTTGCTGAGGTCTAAGCGAGTCAGTAAACTGCGCCAGCGTGCCTTTAAACATCCAAATGCACATTCTACCACCATTCTGCACTTGCTCAGCCTGTAGTTGAACAGCTCCTGACTACTGTCCAGGCTGCCTGTGTACGGCTTCATGAGCCATGGCATTAAGGGGTAGGCTGGGTCCCCAAGGATACATATAGGCATTTCAACATCCCCAACAGTTATCTTCTGGTCTGGGAATAAAGTCCCTTCCTGCAGCTTTTGAAACAGACCAGAGTTCCTGAAGATGCGAGCGTCATGTACCTTTCCCGGCCATCCCACGTTGATGTTAGTGAAACGTCCCTTGTGATCCACCAGAGCTTGCAGCACTATTGAAAAGTACCCCTTGCGGTTTATGTACTCGGCGACTTGGTGCTCCGGTGCCAAGATAGGGATATGGGTTCCGTCTATGGCCCCACCACAGTTAGGGAATCCCATTGCAGCAAAGCCATCCACTATGACCTGCACATTTCCCAGAGTCACTACCCTTGATATCAGCAGATCTTTGATTGCGTGGGCTACTTGCATCACAGCAGCCCCAACAGTAGATTTGCCCACTCCAAATTGATTCCCAACTGACCGGTAGCTGTCTGGCGTTGCAAGCTTCCACAGGGCTATCGCCACTCGCATCTCAACTGTGAGGGCTGCTCTCATCTTGGTATTCATGCGCCTCAGGGCAGGGGAAAGCAAGTCACAAAGTTCCATGAAAGTGCCCTTACGCATGCGAAAGTTTCACAGCCACTGGGAATCGTCCCAGACCCGCAACACTATGCGGTCCCACCAGTCTGTGCTCGTTTCCCGAGCCCAGAATCGGCGTTCCACAGCATGAACCTGCCCCATTAGCACCATGATGCATGCATTGGCAGGGCCCATGCTTTCAGAGAAATCTGTGTCCATGTCCTGATCACTCACGTGACCGCGCTGACGTCGCCTCCTCGCCCGGTATCGCTCTGCCAGGTTCTGGTGCTGCATATACTGCTGGATAATGCGTGTGGTGTTTAATGTGCTCCTAATTGCCAAAGTGAGCTGAGCGGCCTCCATGCTTGCCTTGGTATGGCATCCGCACAGAAAAAAGGCACGGAACGATTGTCTGCCGTTGCTCTGATGGAGGGAGGGGTGACTGACGACACGGCTTACAGGGTTGGCTTCAGGGAGCTAAAATCAACAAAGGAGGTGGCTTTACATCAAGGAGTATTTCAGGCAGGACTTCACAGAGGGTTCCAATAAGAAATGGTGCACCTAAGTTATTGTTCTTATTGGAACAAGGAGGTTAGCCTGGCCTTTGATTGATACATGGCTAGATTTACCTCGCTGCACCTTCTCTGTGAGTGACTGCAGTGTGACCTAGAGGAATGAGTCCCCTAGACAGGGGAGGAGGCAAATGAGTACAAAAACAGATCTGGTCTGTTTCTTGTTTTGATCCACTCCATCTATCTTTTACATCTTTGGCTGACAGCAGACGGTGCAGTAGGACTGCTAGCCATCCTCATCTCTTGCCTGCCCGGCAGAAGATGATGCAATAGGACTGCTAGCAATCCGTATCACCTGCCTGCTCACCATAAGACAGTTCAATAGGACTGACTGCAGGACTAAAGAGAATGACCTGGTCAAGTCACTCCAAATTTAGTCCCTGCACCAATGTCTGCCCAGGCGCTCCCAGCCGAGGTGGCCAGGAGCACCTCGCACATGATGAGGACGGCTACCAGTCATACTGTACCATCTGCTGCCAGAAGGCAATGGGTTGCTGCTACTGTGTAGCAATGCCGTACCGCGTCTGCCAGCACCCAGGAGACATATGGTGACGGTTACCTGAGCGGGCTCCATGCTTGCCGTGGTATGGCGTCTGCACAGGTAACTCAGGAAAAAAGGCGCGAAACGATTGTCTGCCCTTGCTTTCACGGAGGGAGGGAGGGAACGGGGGCCTGACAATATGTACCCAGAACCACCCGCGACAATGTTTTAGCCCCATCAGAGTGCTCCATTGTGACTGCTCTGGACAGCACTCTCAACTCAGATGCACGATTGTTTGCCGTTGCTCTGACGCAGGGAGGGGCGACTGAGGACACGGCTTACAGGGTTGGCTTCAGGGAGCTAAAATTAACAAAGGAGGTGTCTTTACATCAAGGAGTATTTCAGGCAGGACTTCACGGAGGGTTCCAATAAGAAATGGTGCACCTAAGTTATTGTTCTTATTGGAACAAGGAGGTTAGCCTGGCCTCTGATTGATACATGGCTAGATTTACCTCGCTGCACTTTCTCTGTGAGTGACTGCAGTGTGACCTAGAGGAATGAGTCCCCTAGATGGGGGGAGGGGGGGAAGCAAATGAATACAAAACAAATCTGGTCTATTTCTTGTTTTGATCCACTCCATCTATCTTTTACATCTTTGGCTGGCAGCAGACGGTGCAGAAGGACTGCATGCCATCCACATCTCATGGCTGCTCGGCAGAAGATAGTACAGTACGACTGCTAGCCATCCTCATCTCTTGCCTGCCCGGCAGAAGATGGTACAGTACGACTGCTAGCAATACGTATCGCCTGCCTGCTCACCATAAGACGGTTCAATAGGACTGACTGCAGGACTAAAGAGAATGACCTGGTCAAGTCACTCCAAATTTAGTCCCTGCGCCCATGTCTGCCCAGGCGCTCCCAGCCGACGTGGCCAGGAGCACCTCGGACACAACGAGAACGGCTACCAGTCGTACTGCACCGTCTGCTGCCAGAAGGCAATGGGTTGCTGCTACTGTGTAGCAATGCCGTACTGCGTCTGCCAGCACCCAGGAGACATATGGTGACGGTTACCTGAGCGGGCTCCATGCTTGCCGTGGTATGGCGTCTGCACAGGTAACTCAGGAAAAAAGGCATGAAACAATTGTCTGCCCTTGCTTTCACGGAGGGAGGGAAGGAAGGGGGGCCTGACGATATGTACCCAGAACCACCCACGACAATGTTTTAGCCCCATCAGACATTGGGATCTCAACCCAGAATTCCAATGGGCAGCGGAGACTGCGGGAGCTGTGGGATAGCTATCCACAGTGCAACTCTCCGGAAGTTGACTCTAGCCTCGGTACTGTGGAAGCGCTCCGCCGAGTTAATGCACTTAATGCACTTAGAGCATTTTCTGTGGGGACACACACACTCGAATATATAAAACCGATTTCTAAAAAACCGACTTCTATAAATTCGACCTTATTCCATAGTGTAGACATACCCTTAGAGACAGGGTAGTGGACTAAATGAACCTTACATCTGATCCATTTTGGCCGTTCCTGTGTTCCTAGTTAGTTACTGGACCATTCGTAATTGCCCATAAATGTAGTTAAACTTTTTTTACCCTCTTATCTATTGTCTTGTCATGCCAATCAATTTTCTTCACGACCTCCCCCTTGTATTTTCCTAATCTCACACATATTCTGCTGCTTGTGGCCATTATTATTTTATCCAATTTATTTTCTTTGCTTTTCTGTAGAAATCTGTATTTTGGAAAAGCAGACCGACCACCTTTTTGATATTAGGGAAGGATATCTGCTTTCTGTGACTCTATCCCAGAAAAAGTGGCCTTAGAGGGCACAAGGAAAGTTTCTCTATGGATTTAAGATTCCTTATACTTCAGGTATAGGTATTTTGAAGGCCAGGATTTCTTGTGAAGTTTGGACACACTTACTTCTTCATTCCCCTTTCCTGGACAGACCAAAGACTCCCAACTATTTGGCCTCTTTTGCCATAGAGGTAGCTCTTACTTTACGCTCTTCTCTCTGCTAAAAACATGAGGAAGTGTTATCTGTTGTTTTCATAAACCAATATCAAATGGAAAGGGTGAAGTTAATATCCCTGTGTTTTGGAAGCCAGGAACCTTTTATGTAAATATATTTTTTCCTGAAGAACTTGACTGGATTGCTAAATATAGTGTCCAGTCTTCAGATGTAAAATCAGCATTTGCACCTTGAAGGAGCAGTCTATAAAGCCTGTACATACCCCCCGACCCCAGTGCCTTACATCTAGTGTAATCGTTTACAGCTGTATGAAGGAGACAGACTGTTACCAAATTCAGAATGGGAGCATTTTACACCTGCTAAGCATGTGCTATGTGTATGCAAGTGACTATCCAGAGTGCAAGAAAAGCAATGGAGAATCAGGCTCAGAAGGTTTTAATTGTATCATCTAATTTAAAATGTAACATCCTTGAGATTTCAGAGGAACAGCCGTGTTAGTCTGTATTCGCAAAAAGAAAAGGAGTACTTGTGGCACCTTAGAGACTAACCAATTTATTTGAGCATGAGCTTTCGTGAGCTACAGCTCACTTCATCAGATGTGATACATCTGTCATACATCTGATGTCATACATCTGATGAAGTGAGCTGTAGCTCACGAAAGCTCATGCTCAAATAAATTGGTTAGTCTCTAAGGTGCCACAAGTACTCCTTTTCTTTTTATCCTTGAGATTGTGACCACATCATAGCCACAGTATACAGCACTGAGCACAAGGAAGACTAATACTCTCTTC